TTTTGGTCTTTTTGAGACAGGGTCTCCCTGTAGCCCCAGCTGGCCTGGAACTCACTATGTAGACCAGGCTGGCCTTGAACTCACAGAGATCCACCTGCCTCTGCCTCCCGAATGCTGGGATTAAAGGCATGTGCCACCACGCCCGGCAAGGCCTTGGATTTTATCCTCACTATTACACACACAGAGAGGAAAATTGAATGGCTAATAAATAAATGAATAGGTTCTCATTCTCATTAATAATTAAGGAAGTGAAAATTAAACCATAATGAGATACCATTTTATGTTTGCTAGACTGACAAAAGTTGGGATGTTGGTAAAGGAAGTCAACTATGTTGCTAATGCCCCATCGTACCTGTCCTCTGAAGCTAAGGATGCTTGGGCTTCCTTAGTACCTTTATGGGAAGGTAGCCACAGGAAGGCTCATAGACTGCTAGTAGGAGCTAGTTGCCACAATTGCTTAAGAAAATTATTTCATGGTGTTAGTAAAGTTGAATATATACATATCCTTTGGGAAAGGTTCCAGCAGTTGGAACATGTTGCAACAATAGTCTAGCAATTCCACTTCTAGGAATTTAATTATCTAAAGTTCTTAAGAAAATACAGATAGTGGGCTGGGGAGTGTATAGCTCAGTTGGAGAGAATGCTCAGCATGCTTGAAGCCCTGGGTTCCATTCCTAGCACCCTCCAAAAAAATGTAGATTTTGATATAATAGGTTTGGGGTCAAGTCTGCATTTCTTTGTTGTTTTTTTTTTGTTGTTCATTTTTAAAGATTTATTTTATGTATATGGATGTATCTGTATGTATCTGTATGTATATATGTGCACCACAGGCATGCCTGGTATCTCCAAAGGACAGAAGAGGGCATTGAATCCCCAGGAACTAGAGTTGCAGTTGTGAAGTGCCGTGTGTGTGCTGGGAACTGAACCCTAGTCCTTTGCAAGAACAAGTACTCTGAACCACTGAGCCATCTCTCCAGCTCTTATTTATTTTCGATTATGTGTATGTGTGGGGGCCTGTGTGTAGGTATGTACACAAGGATGCTGGTGCCTGGGTCAGATTCCCCTAGAGTTGGCGTTACAACTATCTGGCATTACAACATGCCAGTTAACTATCTGGCATGGGTGCTAGGAACAACTTGGGTCCTCTGCAAGAGTAGTATTCATTTTTAACCACAGAGTCATCTCTTCAGCCCCTTGTTGTTTTTTGAGACAGGGACTGCTGTAGCCTAGGCTAACCTTGAACTTGCTATGTAGCTAAGGATGACCTTGAGCTCCTGATCTTTGTCTTCACCTCCCAAGTGCTGGGATGCTGGGATTACAGATGTGCATTGCTGTGCCCAGCTTAGGAGTCTGCATTTCTAGAAATTTTCTGAATGCTGCCACTGCTGCTGGTTCAAGGACCACATTTGAGTCTTTGCAGATATTCCCTGAAATGCATGTAAATGAATATTCACAGCAGCAGGACTTATAACTGAGAAGTGTAAATAACCTAGATAACCACCAGTAGCACAGTATATCCTTTTGGTGTAAAATTTTAATAGACTATTAGTTGCAGTGTTGGTGATAAACACAAAGTACAACATAGGTGAATTTCAGGTTTATAATCTTTGCCAAAACAAGTGAACAGAGGAACACACAAAGTCTAATTCCATTTATATATGGCTTTCAAAGTATGCTTTGGGGGATGCAGTCCAAGGTAGCAGAACAATGATAATAAAAGACAGGGGAACGAGGCTGGCATGTAACTCAATGGAATGCTTGCCTAACACATAAAAGTCCTTGGTGTCCATTTTCAGCATGAGGTGTGGGTGGGCTGGCAGCAAGGAAAGGATTGATTATTCTAAGATCAGGGTGGTGGCTTGGAAAGTAGAAATTCAGAGAGGTTGTGCTTAGGAAAGTGACATCCAGGGGACTTCTGGGTTGGTGCCAGTGTTTATTTCTGGACTACATATGATAGTGTGAATTTCACAATAAAATCTTTTTAAAAGAATGGTCCGGGGGCTGGAGAGATGGCTCAGTGGTTAAGAACACTGGCTGTTCTTGTAGAAGACCCGGGTTCAAATCCCAGCACCCACATGGCAGCTAACAACTGTCTGTAACTCAGTTCCAGGGGATCTGACAGCCTCGTCTGTCTGTCGAGGGCATTGCATGACATGGATGTACTTACCTACACGCAGGCAATATGCACATACACATAAAAATAAAAAAATAAAATTTATTAAAAAAAAAAAACTTGTTTAGGAGGTGGGAGAGATGACTTAGCAGTTAAGAGCACCGGCTGCTCTGGCAGAGGACCCAGCACCCACATTGCAGCTAAAAACTGTCTCTAACTCCAGTTACAGGGAACTCTACACCCTCCTCTGGCCTCCATGGCATTGCATGCACAAGTGCACTTTACATGCAGGCAAAACACTCATATACATACAATATAAATAAATAAATAAAATATTAAAACTTGTTTATCACACTTTTACTTTTTTTTTTTTTTTTTTTTGGTCTTTTTGAGAGAGGGTCTCCCTGTAGCCCCAGCTGGCCTGGAACTCTATGTAGACCAGGCTGGCCTTGAACTCAATAGAGATCTGTCTGTGTCTGCCTCCCAAATGCTGGGATTAAAGGTGTGTGCCACTATGCCTGGCATTCACTTTTACTTTTTAACCACTGATTTATTTTAAAAATACTATTATATTTAAATGCGAACACGGTTTTTGCAATTTCCCTCAGGTGAATTAAATAAAAGAACTGACATAATCAAGTCACTCATGAAGAAGGTCAAAGTCCTTGAATCCAATCAAATTGAATGTCAAACAGCTCTTCAAAAGACTCAACAGCAGCTTCAGGAGATGGCTCAAAAGGCAACACATTCTGCCCTCCTCTCTGAAGACCTCGAGGTTGGTTTTATTTTTGATAAATTTCATTAGTCCAAATTCTGGATTTCAGTTACTGAAAACTTAGATTTAAATGTCACCATTAAAAATGGATGTGTATTTGTAGAAATGTATGTAGGGGGTTGGGGGTGGTGTTCCATCCTAGCTTTGTATTCTCCGTGCTACACAGCACTATTCTGTCCTGGTGGTAAAGCTTCATCACAAATCTGTTTTTAAAGTGTTTTGCTCTTTGGTTTAGAAACATCTTTTGTTTTAATAACAGTTGATTGTTTGAGAAAATCTTTTTCAAAGGAAAAAGGACAGGATCTCACTCTGTAGTCCAAACGAGTGCCTGGTCCCAAGCTCTATCCAGTGAACGTCTACACAGTTAGATGGTCCCTATTTTTTATACAAAGTCTGAAATAAGCACCCTCAAGTTTTGGTAACTTCAGATTTGGCTCTAGATTGAGTCCCTCCTTCCTCTTACCTCCTTTACCAACACTTCTCTCCCAAATCCTTCCCTCCATTCTCTTCTTCTTTTCCTTTAATGGAGATTGAACCTAGGACTTAACACATGCTAGATGGGCGGTCTACCACTGATCTACACTTGCATTTCTTTTTGTTTTATTTTGAAACGGTTTTTCTGCGTCACCTCCAGCTATCATTGAACTTGCAGTTCTCTGCCTCAGCCTCTGAAGGACTGAGATTAAAGGGTGTGTCAACAGTCTGCCCTAATTCTGTCTCATAGGTTAAGCACACCACTAGTGACATAATGGGAATAAAATTCCTAAAAGTGAGTTTTCATATTTTTATTCTTTTTTTTGGTCCAGGTTTGTCTCAGATTTGTAATCCACCTCACTTAAATTAGCTGTGTGATATTTTCTTCTGTGAGTTAATTTAAATAAGTGATTTTATTTTAAAAAAGATGCTTATAAGCATAGCCTACATATCTCAGTAGAAGAAATGTAAGCATTGAGGCTGGAGTTAACAGAGAAGTGGACATCTGTATTCCTGTCTGATGACTGCTGACTTGGATCACTTTGCTCCTTAAAAATGTTAACTTTTAAAAACTAGAAAATGAGCACAGATTATGGGTGGTAACATAATGAAAGCATTAAAAGATTCAATTAGTATTTTCTGTGTTGTTCCCTTGTAGGCTAGAAATGAAAATCTCAGCAACACATTAGTGGAACTTTCTGCTCAGGTAGGACAGTTAAAAGCTAGAGAACAGGCTCTCACCACCATGATAAAGCTAAAGGTAATTAAAAGAATCATCTCTCCCCTTACTAGAGCACTTTGTAGTACAATGTTTGTTCACATACTTCCTCTCCCCAAGTCCTTTTGCATCCAGAAACACACAGCTGACAAAATTCCTCTTGTTTCAGATCCTCCTTTTTTAAAAAAAAAAAAAAAAAATATTTTTCAGAACAGGCTCTCACCACCATGATAAAGCTAAAGGTAATTAAAAGAATCATCTCTCCCCTTACTAGAGCACTTTGTAGTACAATGTTTGTTCACATACTTCCTCTCCCCAAGTCCTTTTGCATCCAGAAACACACAGCTGACAAAATTCCTCTTGTTTCAGATCCTCCTTTTTTAAAAAAAAAAAAAAAAAATATTTTTCCTTTTTATGTGTATTCATGTATTGCCTACATGTAGGTAAGTGCACCCGTGTCGTGCAGTGCCCATAAGACAGAAGAGAAGCTGTTGGATCCCCTGGAACTGGAGTTACGGACAGTTATTAGCTACTATGTGGGTGCTGGGATTTGAACCCAGGTCTTCTGCAAGAACAACCAGTGTTCTTAACCACTGACCCATCTCTCCAGCCTCTGTAGTGTTTATTTTTTAAGACTAGAGGCACTTTTTACAATGAAGAAAAGTGATATGTATAACTGAAACTCTTTTTTTTTTTTTTTTAAAGATTTTTTTGTTTTGTTTTTTTTTTGAGACAGGGTCTTCCTTTTAGCCCCGGCTGGCCTAAC